TCTGGGTGAGAAGGGTCAGGAAGCAGTATTGGTTCCCCCTGTATCTGGGGCCCCAAGACTAGGGATGGCGCAGGTCCCAAACTCGGAGTAGCGAACAGCGAGGGAGATGGAAGGGTGAATGTGGCTTGGGGAGTCGAGGCGCGGTGAGCTGCACTATAGACTTACCCCAAGAGGCCTGAGGATAGTAGTGCAGGCTAGGAGAGTTAGCCGGTGGTGCAGGCCCAGGGAAGCAGAGAGAGGTGAGGGCGGGGCCAGGACCAGAAGTGGTGCTCCTGGAGCCCAAGAAAGGGACTGAGTTGCTATGGGTGAGAAGGATGAGGAAACAGTATTGGTTCCCCAGCTGTCTGGGGCCCCAAGACTAGGAATGGCACAGGGCCCAAACTAAGAGTATAGAACGGCGGGGGGGGATGGAAGGGTGAGTGTGGCTTAGGGAGTCCGGGCGCGGAGCGCTGCGCTATAGATTTACCCCAAGAGGCCTGAGGATAGTAGTCAGTACTAAGTTTTTTTTATTGTATTGGAATCCAATAATTTTGGACCGCTAACTCTTTTAAAATATTTTATTTATTATTTTTATTTTATTTGTACGAGTGTAATGCTTGCATGTAGATAAATGCACCCATGTTGTGCAATGCCTGCAGAGGACAGAAGAGGCTATAGGATCCCCTGGAACTGGAGCAACAGGAAGTTGTTAGCTGCCATGTGGGTGCTGTGATTCAAACCTGGGTCTTCTGCAAGAACAGTCAGTGTTCTGAACTGCTGAGCCATGTCTCCTCCTTTCAAAGTTTCCTTGGCACTTTAACATATTCCCAAAAATATCAGAATCATTTTATGAACATCTGCAAATAAACTTATTGGAATTTTGGGTGGGATTTATTAATTTATAATTACATGTAGAGAGAATTCATTTTTCAAAATATTCTTTTGGCCTATATATCAAGTATTTTTAATTCATGTAGAATTTGTTTCAGATTTTTAAAAACAGATTTAATTGTATAGGTCTTACACATTTTTGTCAAATTTGTCTCCAACTTTTTCTTTCCATAGTACTATTTTAAAACGCATTTTTAATTACAGTTTCTGAAATTTCATTACTAGTATATAGGAATATCATAACACTTTGGACACCTATCTTATAGTCTGAAAAGCTGCCAAGTACACTAACGGCTTCCATTGGTTTTTATTCCATAAAAGTAAAGATGTGAATTTGTTGGTTGGTTTGCTTTCATTGTTTATTTTAATGCTGGACATGGAAACCCAGGGCTTCACCTGTAAAACTCATTTGTGTCAAGTAACTCAGTTGTCTTAATAAAGTGCCCAAATACACTAAATACCTTCATCAGCATACAGAGAGCCTATATTTGTGCATGAGATATGCAAAGATGGCATTCGTTGTGTTGATGGAATACATAATGTGATAATGTGGTCCCTGTCTACATTATTGTCAAGTCCTTATGATTTATGAAAGGCACTTTACTTTTAGCTAGATTGATTAGCCATTTTTTCCTGGTCACAAATGCCACCACCGTTAATCCCTAGGTTTTCCTTTTCCTCCTATGAGAGTTACATTACCATATCATTATTACAAAGAGTACTTTCCTTTTGTAAAGATCAAACCTAGATGCTATTCAACTAAAGTATATGTCTAAATGTAAAAGTTAACTGTGTCTTCTTTAAACAAACCCCTATGCTGTGCTCTGTTAGCAAGTCCAATAAACTTGTTAGGATTTATAAAAAAAAAAAAAAGAAAAAGAAAAAAGAAATGCTGTTTACCCAATAAATGCCAAGGAACTCAGAAAAAAGTTCACTATTTATAGCATGTATGAAGACTCCCCCCCCAATAAAAGAAAATTGACATCTTCTAAAATTAAAATGAAATGTAAGGCCTGACTTTACTCCATAGTAGCATACCAGACAGTTTTAGTTTTCCATTCCCTTTAAACAGTTTTTTTAAACAGATTTACAACCCAGAAGGCTATAACTAGAACTAAACAGTATTTAGTTCTTAATTGTCTGAGATTAATCTCAAGACCTGTGTATTTTCTTATAGACAAAGCCTGTCTGTATTGTAATTAGTGCTAAGAGTCATATTCTTGCTCCTGTCATTCTTTAACCAAAGCAAAAAGTGTTTGGTACATACTGTTTTTGAAAAAGAAAGTTTATTTACTTCAAAGCAATGGTTGCTTGCATTTGTTAAATTCAGGAGAATGTCTCCTCTCTCTCTCTCTCTCTCTCTCTCTCTCTCTCTCTCTCTCTCTCTCCTCCTCTCTCCTGTCTCCTTTCTCCTGCAATATTGCCACACCACATGATAACACAGGTGTGTGTATGTCTCTGTGTATCTGTAACTACTTTCATTGTCAAACATAAAGTCAAACAGAACGCACCACTTAAAGATTGCACAGCATTTCCATGCACTCAATCAGGAACACTGTTTATTATGTTTCACTTTTGTAATTCTAAAAACTTTTCAAGGCTATTCAGGTTTGACCAATAATTCATCTTCTCAGTTTCTTGTGGAAATACCACAGTAAGTCATGAAACTTTTGTGGTATTTTTTGACCAGAAGTCTCCCCTACACCTTACATATACATTTTATTTCTTCATGCCCTTAAGATATATCCTAAAGAGAAGAAAATAGAACAAGTTTTCAGAATCTTTAGAGTAAATCAAGTTTAATATCTGAAATGGCAGGTTTTCATTCCTTAGCTAGTACCTGTTCAATACCAAGTTTCATAGAGTAAGTTCATAAATTTAATTTTAATCTTAATTTTCTGAATTACTAAAATAATTCCATGTACCTAGTGCATTTATAGCCATTGCTTTTCTTTCTTTCTCCCTTCAATGCATGTTGTAGTGCATTCTATAAAATTTTTTTGAGCTTTTAAAATTTCATACATTATTTCCCACTCACAATCAGAACCCCTCTCTGATCCATGCCTGCTCCCCCGCACCAAACCCTATGCACTCTGCCATACATGCTGAGTCCTATTCATTCAGGTGTTTGTACCCAAATGTCCTTCAGTGAAAATGTGTCCACTGAAGTCTAGTCAGCCAATCCAGTGGTCGTATGTAAGTCATACTTTCCCTCATCTAACAGCAACCAGTCTCAAATAGTTATCCATCTAGTGCTGACCCACCACCTATTTCTACCTCCTCTTTGGACCCTTGTTTAATTGAGCTGGCATGGGTCCCGTTTTGGAAGCCACTTGCTGCTGCAGGCGCACATGAGCTAGCCTCCATTGGCCTGGAAGCCTCCACCTCATCCATTCATGAACCAGCTCTGGCTCTTACAATCTTCTAATTTCCTCTTCTGTAACAGTTTCTTAGCTTTGGGTGGGTGAGGTTTCATATAGGAGTCCCATCTTACACTCTACAGTCTCTTATTCTCCAAAACTTGGTGATTTGAGGCCTTCTGTGTGCTACTCATTCTGATGTACATGGAAGCCTCACTGGTGAGAGTTGAGAGGTGCATCATCAGTTCTCCCTCTACCCCTTATTCTGCTATGTTCCATGAGCCTTGGGTGTAGGAATTCGACTGCAGATGTGTCACCTAGTACCAGGCATCTCCCAGGTGTATGTTCTCTATGCCTGACCAGGTGTGCAATTCTGTGGTAGCCTCCATCTGTTGCAAAAGAAGGATGAGTGCTGTATGGCACGTTATTCACTGTAAGGGAGGTCTCTTCTATCTCGCACTGTGTTCCCTTCACGTAAAGTGTCTGAACATTGCTTTTCTTTCTGATAGAAAATTGGAAGTTCCTAAGAAATATCTGATTTTCTAAAGCAAAATACTCAAGTAAAATGGAGTACAGTGTTTATAATAAAATTAATATGGGTGATATTCCTAAACTTTTACTAGGAAATAAAGTAAAAATCCTGGTATGTTCATAGAGTGTCCTTGAAGCACCTGGTAAAATGGCATAAGAGTTTCTAATCCATAGTAATTAGAGGGTTTTCCCCTCTTCATAAAGAAGAAACAATGAAATTTATCTGATAACTATTTATTTCTTCATTTTACTCCTCAAAGCAGCTATTACCTCTTTATTCCTCAGACTGTATATAAAAGGATTTAGAAAGGGAATTACTATTGTGTAAAGTAAAGAATACGTTTTGTCCTGATTTTCATCTGATCCAGATCCCGAGCATACATACATAAGGAAGAGAGTGCCATAGAACAGAGACACAGAGAGCATGTGGGCACTGCAAGTGGAGAAGGCTTTGCCTCTGCCCCTCCCGGACTTTGTTTTCAAGATGGCAAAGAGAACGTAGGAGTACGAGATAATAATAGTCATAAAAGTAAAAATTTGTATCAAAGTTGAAAATATTAAAATCAGCAGGACATTAACTGTAGGGTCACTGCAAGAAATTTTGAATAACTGTAAAATTTCACAGTAGAAATAATGTATAATATTGGATCTGCAGAAACTTAATCTAATTAGCAAACCCACATGAATTGCTGAATGCAGAAAACCAACAATATATGAGACACTTATAAACTGCACACAGAGGCTGTTGGACATCACTACTGGATAAAGCAAGGGATTGCAGATGGCCACATAGCGGTCATAAGCCATCGCTGACAAAAGGAAACATTCTGTTGTTGCACTAGAACCAAAAAAATAAAATTGGATAAAGCACTCAATCAAGAATATTTTATGATCTTTGGATAAAAAGTTGATAATCATCTTGGGTGTCACGGAGGATGAGGCGAAAGCATCAGCAAGGGCTAAGCTTCCCAGGAATAAGTACATGGGGGTGTGAAGGTGGTGGTCCTTCCAGATGAGAGCGATCAGTCCAAGGTTGCCCACCATGGTTATGAAGTACATGGCAAGGAACACCAGGAACAGTGGCACCTGCAGCTCTGGACGCTCTGTGAGTCCTGTGAGGACAAACTCAGTCACAAGAGTCTGATTTTCTACTTCCATGACTGACCTGACAATCACTAGAATGAAATAACAAATAAGGGACAGTTACAAATAACTGATGTAATTGGTGGCAACTTGTGTTACAAATATATTCCTAAAAGTTGCTTTTCATTATGTTAGTATTTTTAAATTTTTACCTGTATTTGTCTACTCATATACATTTGGAAATTCCATAATATATCATGAACTTGATAACTAACCAAATATAACATGCTAATTTAGTGCAAATACTTTTTGATCTAACAGGTTATAAAAATTATCTGTAATTCTAAGCTTAGGACTCAAATGCAGCAACAGATTTTTTGAGATTTTCTTATAATTGAAAAATATGATAGTCCATTTATTCCTGTATATTTTGCCACTATTATAAAAATAAAATTTATTATTTCCATAACTAAAGTGAGTTTATTTGTGATTAATAGTCTCTGCAGCAACTCAAAGATATTTTTTTTCCTTGAGATAAGGTCTCAGTGTGTAGTCCTGGAGTACCTGAAGCTTCATTTGCCGACGAAGTTGATCTCAGACTCACAGAAATCTCCCTGCCCCTGTCACCTGAATGCTGGTGTTGCAAGTGTGTGCTAACATGCCCATTTTAATATTTCTAAAGAGAAAAGATTACATGGATTAGTACACATTGTTGTTGGTATTTCCACATATGCTAAGCCTTTTCATTATGTTCCAGTGCTTAAGGAACATCAAAAAATGTAACATGGGAAAATAATGTAAAACAAAGTTTATCTATTTTTAAAATATAAATAAATGTGATGCTGTTCATTAGGTTGATCATGCTCTAGAGAATGGTCTCACACCCAAGATTATTTGGGGACTACAAATTAGACTGCATAGGCTTTAAAAAATAATAGACCTGAAGTAAGGGGGTGAGAAAGGTGGGGTGGTTCTGAGAGAAGCTGGTGGAGAGGTCTAAATATAGTCCAAATACATTGCATGAAATTTTCAAAGAATCAATAAAAAAGCTATTTTAAAAAGTTTAACTTTTATTTTTTAAGACTCTTCTTACCTTTATTATAAGGAAAATGGCAGTTCATTTGGCATGATTTATTCACTTCTAAAAATTATAGAGTTTTCTAAAAACTTAAAACATGAGGAATCAGTGATGAGGTGACAGTTTATCTTCATTGAAAAGTGAAGTTTCAGAATCCTTGCTAATAAATTATACCAAAAAACTTATATGCACAAGACTAAAAATAATTTTTAAGTTAGGAATTATACGAGACATGTTTTCTGAAATAACTAGTTCAATTGACTTTATGAACTCCAATTAAAAATCTAAAAATATCCCTACATTTAGTTCTAGAAGTGAATAAATCATGCAAATAACTTAATTTTGTAAATTTTGTTTCCCTTTTAAACTTAAGAGTGTGATACACAGGACATGTAAGGATCCTGTTGACATTGCCTTCACTAACTTTATTCACATACTCATTAATACACAAAATCAGAGTTTTTATTACACTCATATAAACATACCTAAAGCCAGATTTTCTCATTCTCAAAAATTAAAAGAAGTGATATTTCAACATGAATTTTTGCTTCAGTTAGGAAATTCACATAATACAAGTTGAATATGCTCAGCTTTTCTAATCATTCTTTTATTTACCATTTTTAATTTTCCCATTACTTTAAAACTTCCTGACAATTTTCTACTGTCATAAACAAGAAAATTTCTACTCAAGTTCACATAAGTATTTACTTGTGTTAACAAAGATTTTGGATATTTATTTTCTTTGAAAATACCTAGAATTTTCATATTTTGCTTAAGTATTTTGTTATCTGCAGACACAAGGCAAAGCAATAATAAAGTCAGGAAAATCTATTGACTCTCACCCGCGTTCTATAAAACAGCAAAAGAAAAGGAACTCAGCTCCTTTTCAGGAAAGGACACAAGAAGATAGAAGCTGCGTTATTTGTGTGCCAATTTTCCATAGAAACTGCAGACTAGAAGAAGATACCATTTATTATTTCTATTTCAAAACGGTTCTTTAAAGCACTGAAAAAAAATCCCTTAATGTTTCCTAGAGATTCCCAGGAGGATGAAGTCAAGGTTGTTCAGGGCATTGTGAGCTAATCACCAAATTATCCAAACAATTAGCTATATTCATTGTGCTCTGTAGGTGTTATTTATAAAATATAAAGGAATAAAGTTTACATGATCATGATCTCATTCTTCTTAATTGTCCACAACTTAATCAAAATAAGAGATTTCCACTTAGAAATTGCAAATATGCATCACATGTTAAAATCTGAGGTTATGATCATTGTTGATTGAAGTTTGAAAGCTGGCAATTGTCTGACACTTTTGCCTCAAAAAATAAAGCCATCAAAAATACATGCATACACATACTATATTGCATATATTATACATATATAATATTATACATACTATATTATATTATATATAAGCACTTATATATACCTAAAGACTATATAACAAAAATCATGACTTTCATGGTGACAAAGACAACTTGCAGATGACTGGGGGAGAATAGTCCCTTATAATTGTCCTCAGTGACAGACCCCAGGTGTTGCACTAGCCATATACCAAACAAGAAGTTCCTGCCTGTGCAATAGTGGTATATTTAGTGTATGCACAACCAGCAAATTTTCAATTGGATATAATGTCTGCTACTAGGGGTGGAACACACATCTGGTACTGTAGAACCTGCCAAACCCCAGTAGCAGCAGAGAATATAGGCCCCAGTGGAAAGTTACTGCAATTGATTAGATGGAAATGATGCGCCTGTTAAAGTACCAAACAAACATATGTGTTTACCTTCATAGCTTAAGTTTTTATAGGGATTACTGTTTAGATGTTCTTCTTTCTTGCTGTGTGTTTTTTATAGCAGATGGAATCCCAATAAAACTGGTCAACAGCCCATGGAAAACAGATGATGCAGAGACTGAAAGTTCAGTGTCTTGCCACAAATGGAGGAAGATCACACCACACCTACACCCCCTTCAAGGTTCAGGGACTTTTGCAGAAGAGGTTGGTGGAACGAATGTAAGAGCCAGAAGAAGGGGTGGAGTGTTAACTAAAAATGTCCTCCAGCCACTATGCTGGCAACCTTAGTCACACCTCCTTCTCATACTCATCAAGGAGTCAAGGGGGGAGTCACTTACTTCTCCCACCCAATTATTAGACCTTAGCTGCTTGTGGGGAGAGGGACAAAGGATATATAAGCTCAGAACACCAAGAGGCACCACTCTTACCATTTTCTACAGCTATTGGGAGGTCACAGGTTGTGTATTTGAGTGTGGGTGCTCACTCTTCTGTAAATAAACCCCTACCTTATGCTCTGATAAAAAAATAATAAAATATTTTTTAAAAAGAAAAATAATGAAAAAAAAACACATGAAAACATCATTGAACACTATCAAGTTGTCTTCATTCCAAAGATGCAGAGATGCCTCCAAATATTCAAATCAATAATTGTGATACATTATAAAAATTCACTGAAGGACAGAAATCTCAACACATGCAGAAGAACTTTGACAAAAATACCACATCATTTCATTAAAAAGCCAGAAAAAGAGCTGGGGAGACAACTCAGTGCTTAAGAGCATATGTTACTTTTTTAGAGAACCTGAGTTCAGTTCTCAGTAACAACATCATAACCACTTGTAACTCCAGCTGTTGGGGGTTTTGAAGACTCTGGCTTCCACATACACCTACTCTCATGCATACATACCCACACATAGACGTGCACATATACACATAATTAAAAGATTTAAAATAAATCTTCTAAACATCCTCAACAATTAGAACTAAAAAGAATATATTCCATAGGCATACTTGACAGTCCTACAGCCACTTTTATATTGTGTGTGGCAACCCTCAAAATATTTCCACTGAAATCGGGAACCAAAAAATGAAGTTTCTCCACTCTTACTCTAAAAATTACATTGCTTGAAATCTTGGCTAGAGCAATAAGACAAGAGAAGGAAATAAAGGGGATATAAATAGACAAGTAAGAAGTCAAATTATTCTTATTTGCAGAAGATTTGATTTTATATAAAAAATGACTGGAAAAACTTTACCAGAAATCTCATCTTATAAACACTTTCAGCAATGCAGGAGGACACAAAATTAACACACAAAATCAGCAGCCTTCAAATATATCAATAGCAAATGTGTTGAGAGTAAAATCAGGGGGAACAACTCATTCACAAAATTATCTTAGAAAAATATAACTAAGGAAGTTAAAGGCCTCTATGATGAAAACGTTGAAGCAATTGAAGAAGACAGTAAAAGATAAAAGACCTTTCATGCTAATATTTTGGAAAAAACAATATTGTCAAAATGGTCTTATTACTGAAAAGAGTTTACAAAGTCAATTCAATTCCCAATAAAATTTCAATGTTGCTCTTCACAGAAACAGAAAAAAGAAACAACCCTAAAGCTCATATGGCAATATAAAAGTCCCCAGTTAGTCAAAGCAATCCTGAGCAAAAGATTGCCAAAAGTATCACCATACCTGATTTCAAATTACTCTGCAGATCCTAGTAACTAAATAGCTGCCATCATAGTTACTAAAATATATAAATATAAATAATACACAAATATATATAATAGATATATAAATAAATAAAATGATCAAAATAATTACCATCATTCAATCAGAAATATGGTTCAATGGAATAGAGGAGAGGCTCCATTTATAATCCTGAACCACTATAGGAACATAATTTTTCACAAAGATTCCAAAAACCTACATTGTAGAAAATACAATCTCTTCAACAAATGGTGCTTGGAAAACTACATGCCCACACGCAGAGAAAAGTAGGTAGATCTCTATCTCTCATTATGGACAAAAATCTG